GACTTGCATAGCCCAGAATTTGACAGTCCTGAACGCGTAGGCCTACTCGGTATTTTTTTCCAGTCTAGAGCCTGCTATGTGAAAAGTTAAAATAGAGTTCCCTTCACGCTTTTGGGTTGGCAACCCTTTTTAAGAGTTGCCGCATTAACTATCGCATTTGTAAACCCTTTTTAAGTGGCAACTTCGATAAATTTGTTCGGATTCAATAATTATATTTATCGATATTTACCTAAAACTTTTCTAACGGAAAATTAATTCAAAATCCAATTTCTTTTCATTTTATCTTATTAGATAAAATGAATAAAGTTCGTTGAAAAATTTATTATTTTTAAGGATACGATTTTGATAAAGATTTTGTAGTTTTCAAGCAAGAATGATGTACAAGAAAAAGGTATTAAAGTGTTTCTTATGAGAATCAATCAAAAGAGCAACGGTGTCATATAAAAAGACAGCGGGAGCTAATGTGAACAGTCGGTGATGGAATCGAATCAAGTTGCCTAGAAAAGAGCCACATTTGCACTTCTTGAACAAAAGATACTTTGTCACCGCAGCACAGTTGCCGGGCGAGAAAGAAATATGGCACATGACAAAGCAAAGTTGCCGCTGCCAAAAAGCCGTGGCAGCCACGCCCCCAACCGCCCTTCCGTCCGTTAGTCCGTAGAATGGAAGAGTGCCCTCCCAAAACGACATGCCACGAGCCACGGAATGCGCCTGTGTCTGCGAGTGTGAGAGCGGAACGTGGCCATTGTGGCAAGTGCCAAAAAATGCCACACGAATGGGAAGTCCATTTTCGGAACAGAGAAGGGGTGGCAGCAGTAAAAAATAAAACGGGGACGGGGGCTGCTGCATTTGCACAGCCAAAACAAAGGCGGAAAAACTTTAACCGCAAAAGTTTTTATTTACTCGGGCTACCCGAAAATCCGCAGCAGGTGAAACTTCTTCTTTGGTGCGTGGCCAGAAAAACATCAAAGTTGCATTAAGTGGCAGCAGCGCTTCTAGCACAAAAACCCTTTAATTGTATGCCGAAATTAACTGGGAACAACGCAAAGTAAACTAAGAAAGATGGGTTCTTAAACAAATTTACTTAAAATATTTTCGTAGCAAACGTTTATCTTACTTTATGGCAGCATTTACTAAATCAGTGTTTAGTAAATACACATAAAAAATTTTAAACGTGCAATAAAAACAGTATTTTTACATATTTAAAATTAGATTTCAAATTATTTATCAATGCTTTTAAATTTAATTAAAAAGTTTTCATCTTTAATGTATTTCAACTTCGGAAACCTTACGGATTTATTTTATAAAAGGTTGAATACTTTTAGACCCTTCAATAAGTGATTTTGATTTCTGCGATTTGCCCCTATATTTACTTTTTCAGTAACCGTAGCTAACCATTCAACTCTGAAGAATAAATAATGTGGCTGTCAAACACTTTAGGAACTTCTTTAGGGGCTTATTTCGATTGGCTCAATTATTGCCACCTTACGGCCAATTAAAGTCACTCTCTGTGCACTTGAATTGGACTCACTCTCCATCAAGCTCGAGGGGTGAAATCCCGTCAGGCGGAATCAGAATCAGAATCACAAAATGGCATGCCTAATGAGGACTGAAATGCATTTCATTATGCCGGCGACGACGAATGCATGGCCCCGAACTCCAGAGCGGCACTTTGCTTAGCCCCTCTTGACCCGATTTCCACCTCTTGGCCCTGTGCTCAGAGTGCGTTAATTGCTCTGGCACAGGCAGATGGATGGAACGCTTGACAGGTGGTAGGGCAGGACGGGACAGGAAAGGACAGGAATGAATAGGAATGGACAGGAATGGAGTCCTGTAAGGGCAGGAGCACCAGAAAGGTTGGTCTGAAGTGTTTTGGGTTCCGGACACACATTTACTGAATTATGCAAGCCGGCCATAGTCATAGATCTTTTACGAGCCATTAGGTCGTGCGAATCTGTAAATGTGAAGGTATCTTCTCCTGGCACAGAAATCCCATTCGAGCCACATTTGTGCTGCTCAATCACCGAATTCCTTTCGATTGCCAAAAATAACCCAAAACAATGGCACGACCACACAACCAAACACAACACACAACACAACTAAGGCATTTTTAATGAAGTGTATCTAATATAGAAATTAATTAAACAAAACAGCAAACGACAGCAGAGCAGGCGTATTTACATGGCCCGGGTGTGGATTGCAAGACATTTGCCACATGCCAGCGGCCATGGTCACCCCCTGGGAGCTCAAAAAAATGGAAGAGAAAAATATACAGGGGCGTGCAGGGGGGCTCTGTTCATCATTGCCTTCACAGGTGACAGCACAAGTTCAACGTGTTGAGTGAAAACAGCAACTCAGCTGCTGACGTTCCCGAGTTTCGGGGTTCATTCATTATGCTTATTAGATTTGCCTGTCTCTGGCATTCTGTGCTTTCATTCTCTATTGTTATTCTAGCACATTTATAGGATGCAAAACGCAGACAACACAGACGAAATAATTAGAGGCTGCGTTTAAATTTAATTACATTAAAATGCCTTGAACAATTTCGGTTTTGTGTTTCTGTTCTATTTCGAAAAAGGCTCTGCATCTGTGAAGTATTTTGTAATTAATAAATTCCAAATTATAAGGTCCACAGAAGCATATTATTAATATTAACCTGATCTAATAAGCAGAAGTTAAAGCTTTAGAGACGTTCGCAATCTATATTTTTGGGATATCTTCGAGATTTCTCTTTGAAAATATGACAATAGACTGAGATTTTCTATTTAGTCTTATTTCTTAGCTCTGTAAAATGCACTTAAAGTTTAAGAACGCATTCGCTATAGAAATCCCCAGAGTGCGCTCCCATCTGTTTAACCATTTCCTCGGGCTACTCCAGTCGTAACAACAAAATTTCACTTTTCCTTTTGATATGTGACATTTATGGCCAGGCAGTTTTAAGCCAAAGCTGCAGTTTTACCTCCGAAGATAACGCCAAAAGTGTGTGAAAGTTGGCTGAGAGTTTGTCATGCAATTAGAGCAACATGCGACGACATGGACGACGACGGCGACGACGAAGACAGCTCTGGGAAACTCACGCTCCGTTTGGGAATGCGTTTTCCGCTTGCCTTGGGTTCAGCTGGAAAATCAAGTTTTCCCATCTCGCCGCTGGAGGAGTGGGGTGTAGTGTCCATGGCCAGGAAATAAAGCTGCAAACTGGCGGCCAAAAGTGGTTTTCACCAATTGAACTCGTTTGAAGCCGCCGTTGTTGTTGTGTGCAGTTCGCTTCTGATGCAAGCAAATCGAACGGAATCGAACGGAATTGAACGAAATCGAAATCAAAATCACTTTCGGAATGTGCGTTGCCATGGAGCCATTGAACCGAGCTCATCGGGAGCCATTGGCCATTGGCCACTGCCATCATCGTCATCATGGCGGTTATGTAAGCATATCGCTGCGAAAACTGCAACTCGTCCAGGGACTCGATGCACTGCGACGTTTATTTGTTTGTTTTCTATTTCAACAGCGCAAATAGAAATATGCGTAAGTGGGGAAACATTGTTGCGGCGAAAGTTTCCCTCTGTCGGCCGCTGACCACGAGCGTATTTGATGGCTCTTGGCCATAAACGTTGCTCCAGCTGCCATAAAAACTGGAGCGATTGAGGCGATGGATAGGGAAGTGGAAGTGGCAGTGGAAGGATGTGGATGTGGCAAAAAGGAAGTAAATAATGCGGTGAAACGAAATTGGTGAAATGGGAAATTGTTTATTGCGGACACAAGTGGAGCTCAAGCACAAGAGATGGAAATTGAATTTACCGAGAAGAACTCCTTGTGTACATACCAGGAAATTCAAAACAAGAACTTTCTTTCTGCATAACAAAGCAAGCACATAGAGGAAAAATTCTTTAAATTGCCATACAATCTCACATACGATCCTAACAAATTATAAGCAAATTAATGCACGTGCTTAATCTAATAAGCCGCGAACATAAATCCAAACATAAATATTCTGGCCATCATCTGTCTGTCACTTTGAATTAATGCATTAATCGCTGAGCGCAGGCTGAAATGTGAAAAATGTTTCCCAAAATATATGTGCAGTGGGATTTACGCGACAGATTTCATCGCGAAATAAAATTGCACACAAAAAGATCGCTGTACAATGTTCAAGTGTCGTAAATAAATTTAAAATCTAATTCAAATTGGACTGCGAAAATGCGCTACACTCAGACAATTCGGTTTGGGAATTGTTCCGGAAATCAGTCAGACTCCCGAGTATTTTTTTCTTTTTCTTCATTTAATTGAATATTTTCGTACCGTGTATATTTGGATGAATGCATAGATCATGGCGATTTAAGTGTCTGAATATTTTCAAACCGCCTGAAGTAAACAAATGCCCAAATAAACAAGCGGACATTCTGATGAAGAGACCCCCCACTGCCCCCCTTTCGACTGTTGCATAATTCGCCAATTTTATTTTCCCACACAGAATCAGTAGCCCCATATTGAACGATTTCATTGAAAACAGGCGCACGCAGAAACTATCAACAACAGAGCGTCATATATTGAAAGCACTGTGGAAATTGTAAACACTGAAAAATGCCAAGAGGAAAGAGCTCTTTTTCGCACTCCATGGGGCTGAGTGGAAATTTGATTTTGGCGTCTCATTTATGAGGTAGATTCAAACCAAAATTTAACGCAATGCAGGCACACAGAATCTGTTTCTATTAATCGCTTTTATTTCACATTGAATTTCTCGCGTGCCTCTGGTCTATTTGTTTGCCTTTGGCGCTGTTAATGAATATCCATTTTGGCCAACTTTCCAAGTGCGAAGCAAGGTCAATGCCAGCACAGCGAGAGTGAGCCAATGAATGAGAGATATTAAGATGCTGGATAATCAGCTGGAGAGCAAGTAGGAATTCCCTGGAAAATTTTCTCAGAGCTTATATAACATTTAAACCAGCGAAACTGTTTGAATTTCGATTTGAAGCATTAAAAATTGATTTTCCGGATGATTTGCAGCAAATTAAGATTCTAACTTTTCAAACTGTTCATTCCCAGCAGGATCTCTTGAAAGAAAACAATTTGTCTTGACATAATGGTAAGATCATATAAAGCATATATAATAGTTGTAAACCCTTTTTCCCCTACAGAAGCAGCTCCTGGTGTTATCTTTTATTCTCCTCTTTGGCTTTGCAATGGGTGGGCATGCCGTCGGTCACGTGGCTGAAATGTGCCAACCGCAATTAAACAGGCAAGATTTATTCGATCTGGCAGTGACCTCCGGCATTAAGGTGCTCATCCGGCAGGTGGAGTTGTTCAACGAAGACTTGCCAATCTCTTCGAATTTGATGGTTCAACTCACGACCATGTTTTCCAAGTACATTCTGTCCGGGAAGAGCATTAAGTTCATCCTACGGTTGCTTTATGTGGCATGCAAGCTAAACAAACCGGCGAAAGGTGCTGTTAAAGAACGAGCTAAAGCCGAATTAGGCTACTTATGCTTGTGGGAGTTGGGCAAAGAAAAGTGCTATTCATACAAGGACAAGGAGGAAGGTGACTTTTCTATAGAGATTCCATAAATATAGAAATTTGTATCTCCCATTTACACATTGTCATATGTTTAGCGACTAGAGACAAATACAAATAAATATTAAAAATACAAATTAAAAAAAATATTCACTTGGTTTTTGAATAGTGTATGATATTTTCCGTAATAAATGGAAATAGGCTTCTACTTAAAATGTAACTAATACTTTTACCCAAAAATAATTTAAAGTGGCAGTCTAATGATTCCTTGCTTTAGATACAATGCTTGCATTGTACGAAACTAATCCTCGCTGCTCGTTTCGTTCTTTGCCATGCTCACTCAGCAAATTAAAAAGTGCAATGGGCTGGCTGGATTGGATTCCCCATAACCAAAGGGGAACCACAAGCTGCCGATCGAACAACAGCCGACAAGGTCTGCCGTTTATTAAAATCGGCGCACATGAGAGATAGAGAAATGTGTAGAGAACAGTACTGGCGGCACTGGAGCTGTGTCACAAAAATATTTCATAAGTTTGCCACCAACGACGACGAAGCAATTAAATGTCAAAGCGCTGCGCTGCCATTTTGTTATTTGATTGCCCAGAGGCTGTCGAAGCCAGAGCAATAAATTGCGACAGCCTGTTGGGAGTTGCAAGTGCAACTGGCAATGCAATTCCAACCCAGCACCTGCGCCGCTACCATTGCACTTTGCCTAAGCAAACAGGAGCGAGAGATACATAAGATACACAGTCGAGTTGTGTTAGTCAACCAGCGAGGCTTAAGTTTGTTAATTTACGAGAGTACTGCATCCGTCAGTTTCAGCTATCCCTTACTTCTCCTAATTATAGCCAGACTACGAGGCGTATACGCAATATTCAAGGCTTTAAATACGCATACGCCCCGTGGGCCGGCTAATTATGGCCTTCATTGACCAAGAGCATATGCTGCGAATTTTTGGGATGAAAAATTGTTTTAAAAAACAGTATCCCCAACGCATAAATCACGCATACGCCATGTTGTACCTGCCAAGGCATTGATTTATGCTCGGCCAGATATTTTTCACACCATTTTTAAGTAACTTTTATTATGACAAACGCGGGGATGGCATCTGACGCGCCTTGTTTCAATCCTGATTTTTCGCCAGCAAACGAAGCTCATCCAGCTCCTGCGATTCCTTAACATTTGGCAGGTGGCGGCACATTGAGGGAGCCTGTGATAAATGGCCACCTATTAAGCGAGCACTTAATGGCGCATAACGTGTGATATATTGACAGCCAGCAGTGTGCCTGGCATATAACCAAAATAAGCTAAGAAGGCTAAGAAATGGGTCAATTAATAGCCAGCTGACTGACTGACTGGGCCCAACAGCAGCATCCCTGCTGCTGCCGCTCCATTTCATTTGGCTGACTAAACAAAATTCCCCCTAGGCTTAGCCATTGTAAATTCCTTAACAATAAACGCTCTCGCTCAAAATCTCATTATGTTAAGTAAAAGAAAGGTTGTGTGTGTGTTCTTTTCGTTGGCAAAACAAAGAACGAAAATTATTACCACTTTTGCTGGGTTTGCAGCAAATTGAATTGATTTTAATCTCCAACTTCCTACCCAGGACTCCCTCTTGTTCCAATAAAATTTGCATTTGAAATCGCTTTTCAACGAAAAACCAAAAAAAAAAAAAAAAGAAAAGAACTTACACACAGGAGCTGTCTGTTTCCTCTGTGAATTAAATTCGGGACCAATAAAAAAAGTTAAAAGAGAGAGCGACGAGAGCGAAGAAAAAAATTTGCAAACACTCGGCCAACTTTTATGCGTGTGCCGGATGCGATAAGAGCCACAAGGCGATGCCAAAACAGATACACATACATACATAAGTCGGGGGGATGTGTCTACCCACAATCTGCCCGCTCGCAAATAAACTTAAAAGACATATGAAAATCAGTTTTTGAATATTGGTGAGGAGCAAACAGGCAGACTGTTGCTGCCTGTGCGTGTATGTGTGTGTATTCTAGTAGTATCCTTCGCTTTTGCTCCTGCTGGAACAGCACTTTGTCCTGGCACACAGCCAGCGAAAAGGAAGGGGGAAGGAGGGGGCAGTGTAACCCCCCGGGCATAGCATTAGGGTAAATGTAAATGTATGCACAAGTATGTGCGAGGGAGGGTTGGGGCTCGCATATCTCTGTGAGCCTGCATGCAGCCAGCAGCAAATGTAGCACGGGAAATTTAGATTTTTGGGTCATTACTTTGCCAAAGAAAATTCGCAGCCAGAGTTCCGTGTAATACCCCTCCGTTACGCCATAGATCTACATACATATTTCTCAGCAATCGATTGAAAAGTCAGAACGTTTGCTAATCCCGGCACTGCATTTATGCCGATGCCTGTGTTGAACCATTCATTGGATCAAATGCCACTCGCAACACAATTATCGCATCAACACCACCGAAAGCCGCATAATGGCCACGCAACGTGGTGAAAAACATTTTCCAAAATCATGTTAGTTCAAGGCCCAAAAGCTAAAAAGGCCAAAATCAGGAAGAATAGACTTAACAGACTGCAGATGCGATGCAAATTGAGCGTGGCAAATGTGTAGGTAATAAAAATACCAAACGAGCGGGGCGAAAAATTCGGGAAACCTCTTTGAAAATGGAAAAGGTAAGAGCACTACAACAGGTGAATAAAAATAGTGCATTCGTCAGTTAAAATGTTCGATTTATTACCCGCTTTTCACTCTTCAATTCACCTGGGTAATCGCCTGATTGCAACTAAAAATTTATGATCCAATTTTTCTTATCAATGGCACCAATAAAAATTGGCTTAAAGCGCAATCAATGTGAAGTACCTCACGAAGATTACTTCCAGTCTTGATTAAGCCCACAATCTCTAATTATGTTTGCTTTAACTTTGACCATCGAGTAGTAATCGAATCATTAGCTTGAGGCCTATACAATTAAATCAGCTTAATTGAGAGGTTGTTGGAGGGTCAATTAATATTTGGAGTTTGATTAGTTGTTATCGGATTTACCTACTATATTTACTTGAAATTTTCCTTGAAGCACAAACTAGTTTCCAAGTAAACAAGTTTGCCAACAATCCCGAAACTCGGGCCATCAATTAAAAAACCTTTTTGCCAAAATTAGCGCACTCAATTAATTTGGAAAACGCTTTTCCTCTTCCCCACTGAAGGGCAAATATCCTAGTGGAGACAAGTTGCAGCTGCCACGCCCCCACCTTTTACTACCGCCCACGGACGTGCCCGTGCTCAAACCCTCACACTCACACACACAGTATACACACCTTGACAGTGAGTGAAATTTCAATTAATCAAGCGGCGGAAAGGATCCCTCTGGACGGGTTAACCCGTGTCTACACAGCAACCGGATTCGACCCAGAAAACCAAGTAGATGAAGAGGATGGAGGATGGAGGTGGATGCCACGAAATTTCCACCTTTCCACCTAGAAAACTGAGAGAGTGAAAGCAGCACACATTTCCCTTTCGCTCTTGCAGGTGGTGATTAGTCATTATTTATTTTAAAATCAATTAGGTTGCCTTGACGTGAGACGTGAGAGTGCAGGTTGGGTTGGGTCGGTGGTTTGATGGGTTGATATAAGGAGGAGATGAAGGAGGGGCCATAAAAGTTCACGTCTCATTGGCAGGCAAAAACATTTTTGCACATAACTTTTTGGCTTTCGGCTTTTGTGCTGAGTAATTTGGCAAATATTTGACATTTGTTTTTGTTCGATTGGTTGGTAAATTTAGCAATTTTCCCCAAAATTGATTTCTCAACGATTTTTTTTCCCATTGCATAGCCTATAACAATAAAGTTTAGAAAATATTCCTTACATATGTCAAGCCTTAATTGGCAATTACTTTTGCCCGCAGAAAGCCACAATCGACATGCTTGAAAATTTCGTATTGGCAAAGTCATTGGAATCTTCAGAGAATCCAAGAGCAAAACTAATTAACTTTTGGAAATGCGTTGAATTTGCTGAGACACCTGACAAATATTTGATTCGTAAATTATTGCAATCTGGTGGAGAGCTTCTACCTCACCCAAAACGATGACTGTGTAATTGAACGAATGAGGAAATGAATTCTGCATAGCTGATGAGCAATAAAGACATCGCCTCTGCCAAATGCAAATCCATCGAGAGAGTACAAGCAGAATGAGCAGAAATGTGAGGCAGGAAATTAAATTTACAAGAAATTGCACAATAGTCAGAAGTCGGGGCAAAACTGTTGCATATCCATCTGCCAGGATATAGACATCCACACTGTTATTGTTGCAGGGGATTAGGTGGGTGGGTTTTCTTAAGCACAGCCTGTCAACGTTTACAGATTGGTTTTTCGGTCAGCTGGCTTAAGGAAAACACAAATGACAAATCTGGGAAAATCCCGACTAAGAACGAGAAGCAGAAGCATAATTTTATTTAAATTAGTTTTCTTACGCCCCCGTTCTCACTTCTTTTGTTCATCTTTTAATAAATATTTAAGTACTGCAAATAGAATATTTAATGGCTCATCAGACTTGTAGCCAAAGTGAAATCCATGAGTCTAAATTCCATGACGCTAAAAGTCGCTCAAGCTTTTGAAGTGCTGCAACAATTAAAACAAACTATACAGGCGCCATGTGTTGTCCTTTTTTGCGACCCGGGGCCAAAGCTTATGAAATTAATCAAACAATGTAAACGGATGGATGGGTTGGCAGGGGGAAAAGCGGGAGCTAAGGACTCATGTGGCAGCAGAACATGCATAAATCAGAGCCAGTTTTCCCTGGGAAATACATAGTTGTGTGTTGAATGAAACAACGTCCCCAGAGATTTTGTCGTGAGCTGGCCAAAAAGTCAAAAGCTCGCTGGAGGGTTGAGTTTTGCTCTGCGTTCCGTTTCGCACAATTCCCATTCATCAGAGCCTCTTAGTTCAGAGTTGCCGCCAGCATGCCAGGGTTGCCAGCTTGCCGGAGTGGAGGGGCCATATAATAACGCTCTAATTTGCATGTGCAGCTGCAGCTAGCTGGATGATCAAATGAAAAATTTCAACGCATGTCACATGTGTGTGCCATGTTCCAAAGCCACGCCCAGCAAATGGAGCTTGGCAAATATTATATTTTAACGAAAATTCATTTAAAACAGAATTTATTCAGGCCCACAGTCGGT